ATACCAGCCACACATACTTGGACATATGTGCACACAGAGTGACAGACTAGGCTATACAGCAATCAGCAACAGTGTTATAATGGTGCTGAGAAACTGCACATAGCTGGTAAATCAATTATGATCACTACTATCTCCTCTGAGGTATCCAATAACAGTAAAGATCCCCGTAAGTGATCACAGACTAATTGCTTAATTATTTATACTAAAGTGCACAATGTACACATTTAGGAGTCCATGACATCCATCCATCAGGTTAAGTGTCCATGGTCAGGCATACTGGAATCACAGGCTTACATGCAGTCAGCTATGCACTTTTTATCAACCGATCAGGGTGTGGTAGCTATTGCATTACTGTCATGGCCACAATAGATATTGCAGTAGGACAACACCACAGTTGGCATTTTTTTTAGGCAAAGCAGAGCATAAGCGATAAACCGGAGCTAAGTGGCATAACCCAATGGAAGCCACATAACTACAGGCATAACTCAATGGAAGCCACATCCATGCAATTTGATCATGCAAATAAGTTTTGCCAGGTATGAAGGCTTCTCAGAGCAATCATTGTCCAGTGATCACCCCCAATGTAAAAACAACCTAGCTTAGGTATGATACAGTTCATCACTCCAGGTATGATTGCTCCAGTTTTAAAGAATCAGGACCGTCTGTTTAACACTGCTGCTACAGATTTCCATGCATGGTTCTATTGCTCACATCCCTGGCAATCAGATGATTCCATGTTGAGTGTCCGGTGTGAAACGAGGTGGTTGAAAAGCGGCGCTGTACAACCAGGTGCACCGGGCCTGTTGACGTGACATCAACACGTTTCACTCACTGAGACACAAGAGCTTCTAGTTATGGTGACCCTGGGGTTCCCTCACTTCCTATTTTGGCTATGGGACAGGAAGTGAATGGAACCCCTGCCCCCCCCCCCCCATGGGACACAGATGGCAAAAAAAACATTGGCAAGGGTTATATCCCTCCCAAACCCTATCCAAAATGAAAAAAAACATGTTTATCCTCTAGCTACACTTTAAATATATTCCTCTGTAGACTCAGAAGATATAAAACTACTTTGTGTGTACCAAATGCATTTACAAGCTTAGTAGCAGTGACATAATCTCTGTGCTGTACATAGCCTATGCAGAGCTGTGAATGGGACCCTGCAGGTCCTCCTTCTACAGGGTGCCTGCAGAAAACTGCAGGGGGGAGGATACAAGACCATTCAGCCTGCACAAGGAAAGAGAGCAACAGTGGCCAGTCATCATTACATGATGCTCATGGACAGAGACAAAGTACAGCAATTGTTTTATATGTGGATTACTGCACATATCTGGAAGAAATACACTAAGATTAAAGGAATACCTATGGCTATTGTACTGTATGTAAACATTATTTGTTTAACTTTGGGCTTATCAGTCAGATTTTTACTTTACTTTACTAGAGAAATACAATAATGTGAAATATGTTGTTTTTTAGAAATATGACTGTGGTCAATATCTATATTTCTTGTCAATTTAACTCTAGTGACAAAAAATATAAAACTAAGGAATCTTTGGTGATCCACTTGATGCTCTCTGGCCACTACTTACACTTTTGATCTATAAGTGCCCACAATAAAGTCAACATTGCTTTATGATTAAGTGAGGTGACTGATTGACACTTTGAATGCACTACATAATGTCAGTCAGTCTGTGTACAAAGCCTTACATTGAAAACATTATTCCATGCCTTCTCTATGGTACACTGAAAGACTTAAGAAAAACCAGAAAAGTGTAATTGAAATCTTCTAGACAGTTAACATACCATGCTGTGGTTTATGCTAGAGTGAATTTAGGGAGACTATGGGGTAGATTTACTAAAACTGGTGCACTCAAAATCTGGGGAAGCTGTGCATGGTAGCCAATCAGCTTCTAACGTCAGCTTGTTCAGTTAAGCTTTGGCAATAAAACCTGGAAGCAGATTGGTTTTTATGCAGAAATGAGCCTGATTTTGGACTCTCCAGCTTCAGTAAAAAAAAAACAAAAAAAAAAAAACAACAGTATGGCCTCTGGTGATGTTAGCAAGGCAACTGAAACCTGGATGAGTCCAATGGTGGCTTTACAGTTTGTAATCTAGCAACCAACCTACATTTCTGGAACTGTGAGATGATGAAGTAATACAAGTGAAATATGTTGATTTACTAAAAGGCAAATAGACTGTCCACTTTGCAAGGGAAGTTGCACTGTGCAAGGGAATTTTCCTCAGATCTTAATGAATGAAGCAAAGCTTTGCCTCTTAGATTGTAAGCTCCAAGGAGCAGGACCCTCCTAACCCTCTTGTATTGAACTGTATTGTTGCTGTATTGTCTCCCGTTATATTGTAAAGCGCTGAGCAAACTGTGGGTACCATATAAATCCTGTATGATAATAATAATTTGCTGGCTTGCATCATCTAATCATGTGCAAGCAAAAATGCTGGTTTGGTGGGATATTCTTTGCAACATGAAATTTCATCGTGTTTACTAAGCTCTGGGGAAAGTTCAACTGGAAAGTGCAAGTTCCTTGCAAAGTGAGCAGCCTATTTTTCTTTAGTAAATCAACTCTGAAGCGTTTTTTACCTTATCTAGATGAAAAGTGCATGCTAAGCGACAGTAGCAGAACTGAGGGATCTCATCTGGCAGCAGGAAATAAAGCTGAGGGCCTATTTATAACATGCTCATTCAGTAAAGAACAAACTATTTGTTGCTGTCTAATTAGTGATGTTGCACATCCTTGGTCATGCAGAGAATAGTTGTCTTTTATGTATCTATCTATCACACGCGTGACACAGCATGTTGGCAGGAGGTATTAGGAGTGGATATTAAAAACCCCAATCTGTTACTTGAAATTGATTAGACTTTAACACCTCTCATAAGATTAATAGTTTAGTTCTGATAAACGGTGAATTTAACACACGCCTTTAAACATTTCATGTGATTATATTTAAGAAATATTTGTATAAGGAAGACATTTGCATGTGTGCTGAAAATGCATAAATACGCTATCTTAATAACTCTGTAAAATTAAGACATTAAATTAAGTAGAATGCAGCAGAACATTTATAGAAGGCTATTTACCCATTTATTAAGCAAACAATATGTAACACTGTGTTTCATTAAGACATTAGCTATTTTTTAGGTGTGTAGGTTGAAGAAAAACACTTTTTCGTTTCTAAAGCAATGTGTGTCCTGAATTTTAAGTTTAAGCATTTATTAATGAACCACATTCAGTATTAAAGAACTCTGTCCATTTATCGACTTCTTATAATCTGTCTTTTGGCATTACCCCTAGCATGTTTTTATCACTGACTATAAATACCAAATGTGTGGTCAATAAGATTTGTTGAGGAACACTGCTTTGTTTTTTGTTTTTTTTTGTCCTCGTTCACCAATATCTAGGCCTGAGACATTAGTCACCACCAATTTCATTGGTGCATTCTTTTTGTTTTCAGTGGCCACGGGCTCCTGGTGCTTTACATTCCCTTGACAGTTCTCCCTACATCCCAGACACACACCTCCCTTTTAATTTACGGCTTAATTTCTCTCCTAATTCAGAAGATTGATGCCGGAAGGCTATTTGCCGAATTATGGAAATGTCAGTACGTTTTATTGTTGTAATAAAGGGATTCCTATATATCACTTGCTCTATGGGGATTCCAGGCTTTCTGCATGCATCTTCCTAGCAACGGATGCTGGCTAAAACTGCCAGCACTTAAAGTCTTAACAGGAGGTGCAAAGGAAAGGGTATAAGGAATCAACATGCCATCCCTTGAGACAAGATTAATTGTGTGAGCACATGGTGACAAACTAACCTAGTCACTGAAATATTCTAAGTGAATTATTCTTGCCTAGAAATTCTGCTCTGGTTAGTTTTCCAATAAGCAACTTAAATATATCTTGACAAAGTTGTTTTAAAGATGATTTTCTATTGGTTTTGTGATATGCAAATGCAACAATAAAGATCAACAAGAAAATAATCTAGCTCTCTTATCTTTCATTGGTGGATACACAGATGCAAGGTCAGTGACTGTTGTTCTAACAGAGGACATCGTAAAAGAAAAATAGTTGCAGATATGACAAATGCACAATTTCCAATTTTCCTGGGTTATTTAGCACTGGGGTGTAGTTATGAGTGTTGATCAAGATCATGGGCCCCAGATCTTATCAAACAGCTGTGGGGTGTCTCCAAATAAACCAAACATTTCCATTCTGATATTGACAAAGTGGAGGGCCTCTTCTATGTAATTTTTGGCATAAAAGTAGGGTGTTTGTAATAATCTCTTTACATGGGAAGGGAAGTTCATTAACTATACCCAGTAGGCATATTTAGGGGCAGCAAAAATTTAGAAGACCATGAAAAGTCTCTATAAATAAAGTAGCCTTTACCCCAAAATTGTTGTAGAAAATGGTAGGGCCACATAGAGTAGAGGAAATCTGCTTCCATTCTGCAGTCAGGGAAACATTGAGATGAAGGTTAGTTTTTAGGGGAGTATGGTAAATTTGATTGTACTATTTCAATTGATTAAATGTGTCCTTAGAGAAGATGACAGAGGGTATATACATTTTCTCAACGTCCTAATAAGGTAATTTGTAGAAGTTGGTTCTGCCAATTATTTTTCTATATAGAAGTAGTCCCTAGATTATACTACTGAATGAACAATTGGGTATTAGCAGTTGTCAGAAGAATTTTTCATAACTCTGTGTTCTGCTTTCAAAGTTCTGCTGTGCCAAACTGTGCTCCAACTGCATGTTGGCGTTTGAGGAAATATACTATATGTTCTATGGGAATCTAATGTTCCTTCTATATGTGTGGAAGGTTTTAGCCTATGTTTAACAAAAAATTTATAGAGAAATTTAACTTATGAGGATGACCAATATTCAGCACAGGAAATTGAACCCAGGTTGTGATAGATTACCCCGAATCAGGGTACTTGGACTAATCATTGTACAATTTATTTATAATGTGAAGGATTTTTAATGTGGCCTTTATCATAGTTGTACACATGAGGGAAACCCAGTCTCTGTGTCCCCATTGCAGGCTGAGATTGTGTAGACCAGCTGGTGTCCTCTATTGAGCATGCTCCAGTTTCAGTTTCCTTTTAAGGTCTTCATTTCCTTCTTTTCCTTCTTTTCAGTGCTGCCTATCAGTGTGCATCAGTGCCGCCTATCAGTGCCCATCAGTGCTGCCTATCAGTGTGCCTAACAGTGCCAGACAGTGCCACTTAACAATGCCACTCAGTGCCACATATCAGTGCCAGTCAGTGCCGCCTATCAGTGCCATATATGAGTGCTGCCTGTCAGTGCCCATCAGTGATGCCTGTCAATGCCCATCAGTGCCACCTACCAGTGCCACCTCATCAGTGCCACCTGTCAGTGTCCATCAGTGCAGCCTATCACTGCCCATCAGTGCAGCCTTATTAGCGCACATCAGTGAAGGAGAAAAATCACTTATTTACAAAATTTTATAACAAAAACTAAGAAACAACTTTTTTTTTCAAACTTTTCAGTGGTTTTTGGTTTGTTTAAGAAAAAATAAAAAAAAAAACCCAGAGGTGATTGAATACCACCAAAATAAAGCTCTATCTGTCACAAAAAAAATGATAAAAATGTCATACAGTACAATGTTGCATGACCGTGCAATTGTCATTCAAAGTGCAAAAGTGCTGAAAGCTGGAAATTGGCCTGGGCAGGAAGGGGGCATAAGTGCCCTGTAGGCTAGTGGTTAAGAGTACATGTTTAAGTGGGTTAGCATAACATCAATGAAATATGAAAGACAAATATCTGTCTTTAAAGCTCTTGAGTGCTGGCCAAATACAAAATAAAAATATCTCTCAAATTTCAGATTGTATTTTTATACAGAGTGCAATTTTCTCTTCCCTAAAAGAAATGTTAATATTTCACAAAATAAATTACCACTCACCATCTGTTCAAGCATTTAGTGACTTAAGTGATATTTAAAGCTGATCTCCTGCACAAAGTCTTTCATTGAAATATGTCCCTCAGTAGCCACAATAGGTATAAATCACCTTTGTATTCATCATGTCTTTGCAAATCTAGATATTGCCTTGTAACAGTAGCAGTGACATCATCACTGTGCTGTACATAGCCTGTGGCGAGAGCAGAGCTGTTGGAGGGACACATTAGACCCACCCACTACTGGCTGCCTGCACAAAACTACGGGAAGGGGCGTATACAAGTCCAGTCACCTTGCTCAAGGAGAGAGAGCAGCAGTAACTGATCTTTGTTACAGGAAGCTCCTGCACAGAGGTACTGGATTGGTGCACAGATCTGGAAGTATTACACAAAGCACACCAAGATTCAAACAATACATATGACTCTTGTATTTAGACATTGTTTGCTTATCCCAGAGTTCAGCTGTAGAGGGTTTTCCAAAGTATTTCCTTAAAGCGGTATTAAATCCAGAACCAAAATGTAATATATTGCAGCTCACCAATCTTTATATATTGTGGCTGTTTTCTTTTTTAGGCTTTTGTCCCCTTTGTTTTTCCGTTGTGATCCGGTCAATAACACACCTCCTGTAATATATAGACATCACTTTGAATGAAAGAGCACAGGGAGCAGATTTGGACAGCAACATTTTCAGTCTAGGGGGAGGGGAGTGTTAGATGTACAAGCAGATTTAAATACACTAATACATTGAAGCTGAACTCCAGCTAATATTTTATAACCAGTTGTAGTGAACAGTTTTTTGCTTTTGGGATAAAGGTTTTGCATAAATAAAAACTGATCATTTTAGGCACCCCTGCCAGTGTTGAATGGTCTGTCTTAACTGCAAGAGAGCTATTCTGATTTACTGGCTGGATCAGGACATGAAAATAGAAGAAAGAAAGCCTAAAACAGGGAACTTATACAACCAACGTATCTGAAAATTGGTAAGCTGAAACATTAGAAATGTTTGCTTTTGGGTTTAATGCGGCTTGAAATATTATGTACCCGGGGGGGGATATAGGGGTAATCTGTAAAAAAATATAGTCAGGTTGTTTGAAGTACTTTATCTAAATAGCACATACAGTGGGTATAAAAAAAGAGTCCCCCCCCCCCTTTAAAATCACATTGTTGCTTTGCAGCCTGAAATTAAGAAAGACACCGTTTTTGTTTTATTCAGCTGTATTTGCTCAGTGCAACTTATGACATTCAAGTGAAAGATATAACACCAAAATGTCAGAAAAAAAATTTAAAAAAATCACTGAGATGTACAGGATCACTGAGATGTAAACAGGATCACCCCCTTGTGTCAGTATTTTGTTAAACCACCTTTTGCTTTACTTCCAGCCTTCAATCTGTTGGGCTATGTATCTACAAACTTTTGCAAATCTAAACTTTGCAATATTTGCCCACTCCTCTTTGAACAACTGCTCAAGTTCAGTTAAATTTGATGATGACTGTTTGTGGACTGCAGTCTTCAAGTCATTTTACAGAGTTTTCAATGGGGTTTAAGTATGAGCTCTGACTAGGCCATGCAAGGACATTAGAGCAATAACCAAAAAAAACTGCGCTAAAATGCATGATAGAATATTTAAATGAATGAAATATAATAACCTATTGCTGACACCTCTAAAATATTAAGTAAACAATGTATCCTCTAAGGGATTCAGTAGCTCAAAATATCATAAAAATACATTTCAAAGTGAAAACTCATACAAGTGAAAAGAGTCCAAAGAAAAGTCCTTTTTTTATCCCAAGATGATTCAGATTCTTCAAATACAATCACCACGTGAGTAAAATATATAGTGTCCCCCTCTCGGGTGTGCACTCACCACATGGATATGTCTCCCATTCTCATGGTTGGCTTAATCGCTTAAGAGTTGTTATCCACAAGACGATCAACTTATATACTGGATAACAAACACCTCCTCCAATTCACCACAATATCTCTTATTCCCGGATATCCAAATGATATAACATAGATATGGATAAATGGTTGGTATACAGGTGCTGATGAATGGTAAGCAGCCACCTTCCCTCCTCCTATGTGATCATCTCTCAAATGGTCAGCGCTCAAGGTGAGTTTACTTGCTGTGACCCCGTGCAGGTGCCACCGTATATACTAAAGGGGAAAGGAAGCAATGTCTGTACAGAAGGAGTGCAACTGTTGTGGTCTCTTCTTAAGCTGCCCATAGATGGATAGAATTTACAGTAGAATGAAAAGTCTTAGGAAAATTCATACAACAATTCTCAGAACATTCTATGCATTTAAAATAATTTCATTTGGTTTTAACATCTGATTTTGCAGTGAAGGGACGTTACTGAATGAAAACCACATACACTGTTAGAATCTCATTTGCTCTCTACAGAAAAGATGTTCTGACCTTGCAGTGCAATCATTGAAACAGGTGTACAGTATATGGGAAACTCAACAGCAGGGTTGCATCTTGATGTGATACAAACTATTTATCAATCCGGTATCGAAACTCTCTTATCAAATAGCATGGGAAAAAGACCTTGGTATAGCCCCTGAGGCAGAGGACTGAAGGGCTTGGCCTGCTTGCGTCCATAAAAGTAACATTGGTTGAAGCAGGCTACAGGGTGTATACTATATTATACTAGGGTATGTATTACACCTTGCTAAAATGTATATGGACTCCTCGTCCTCCTGCTTCCAGGTTTGTGGCCAGGTGGGAATCTGCCTCAAGGTTCATCACTTTTGCATAAGGGTCCACACCCTCATACACTCGGTCGCCATGGTCAACATCCCCAAAGGTGCTTGGAATGCACTATTGAACGCCCCAGTGGATGATATCCCAAAACACATGTAAACTTTTATTCACTTCATTTTTCTAGCGGCCAAAATTGCCATAGCAACAGCCTGGAAAAGTCCAGTGATTGACCTGGCCTTGATGAACTGTAAGCTAACCTGGATCATGCTTAATGAAAAGATTGTGAGTGTCTTACAGAATAAACAAGCCTTATTTGATAATGTCTGGAACCCCTGGCTTTCTTATGTACAGGTACCAGACACCTAGGGGTGGCTCCCAGATTCCTATTTTCATTCTCCCCTTCTTTTTCTTCATTTCTTCATTTCCATTTTCCAAGTCCTTTTCCTACTTTTAATTCAAGTTGGCTACTATTTTCGAGACACCAGTCCCAACTCTTGATTATCTGTTTGTTAATTGCAAGTGATACCTTTCTATAAAGAGGGAGATGTGGTGTTATGACCCTACGGATATTGCTGGTTCAGATGGATATCCTTTATGCATAGGATTTTTGTGACTGGTCTCGTCACTTTTGTGGAGACTAAAGTAAAGTTTTTGATCTTACCTGTGCTAGTCCTATGGATTTATATTTTGAGACCTTATTGTCAACATCTCTAGCGATGCACTGTAATGTTTATCTCCATACTATTTTGTATCACTTGCTTCTAATTGTAACCCTAATAAAAACAATTGAAACCAAAACTCATTTGTTCGAGAAAAAATATCCATCCTGCTTCTTTCGAATTTTCTTGTCCCTGCAGTTGAAAACAAACATCAGTTTGATCTACTAATGATCAGGAAAATGAATGAAATTTCATAGAACATTCTTTTACCATGAATTTTCATTAAAAATTCTACTCTTCTATGGCAAGCTTTGGGAATCCTAGCATACCTTGCACATACTGAAACATAAAAGGACCTTTTTTTAAACGAAAAGTAGGACAAAGCTTTTTTGGCCCTACTTCCCCTATGGATCACATGGGTGCATTTCATTCTGCACGCCTGTGACCCATTTTCAGCTAACAGCAGGCTAAATTCTGCTGTTGGCTGATGTCACTGAGCTAGTCCAGGCTCTGGAGAAATCCCGACTTTAATTCAGGATCCATCCAGATGTCTGGATCGACAGCTGGCTCAACCTTTCAGTATCCTGCTGAGAGCCTGAGCCATCCGTTCCTGCCCCCTCCACAGCCCAATGCTGCAGCGAGTACTGCAGGGGCAGAGCAGAGAACCTGCAACTGACAGTCACTGCTCTCTGCTTCTGCTCACTGGAGACCAAGAACTGAGTGATCAGCAGTCTTTGATTGCTCAGTTCTTAGTCTTAGAGGGGGCAGGGGACAGATGCAGTATCTACAAGGTGATTATCACTGTTTGTTTACATTCCCAAACTTCTTTTTTAAATGTTTATTTGTGAAATATGGATTTTACACAAAAGTGAAAATAAGCATAGAAAAATAATTGATAAACATTAAATTACATTCACATTTACCTAAAACAATAGTTTCTCTTTAAGAAGTGAAGTGTTTTGGTAATTTGAGAGATAAAAACACTATTATTATTATTATTATTATTATACAGGATTTAAATAGCGCCAACAGTTTGCTCAGCACGATACAATATAAAGGGAGATAATACAGCAACAATACAGTTCAATACAAGAGGGTTAGGAGGACCCTGCTCCTTGGAGCTTACAATCTAAGAGGGAGGGGCTGGTGGTACAAAAG